CAAAACCTTTTATCTACTTGGTGCCTTAAGCCTTTCACGATGATAGATACAAAATATGTTTAAAGAGCTTTCCTGCATCACAATAAGATATTGTGTATTTTCATCACATTTTCGTGCCTCTCATCCTGCCATAAGGTTAAGGCAATAAATACCCTGTAGGAGATTCCAGCTCTCTCCTAATGATCTTTAACTTTTTGACAGGATTTTGTGAACCTTAGCCTACATTAACTCTATTTATGGCTCAGCAACCATGGGCAAGTTATAGCTGATAGATGAGGCAAAAGCTAAAAAGGGAAGTTTTCTGACATCACACCAGATTTAAAAAAAGTCCTGTGCGTCTATTCTGGGAACTCAGCTGCCAGGTTGGCACTACATGGGGTGTCACTGTGGCTCGAAAAGCAGCCGTAACAGTACGTGGAGGGTTCAGACAAGCAGGGCTCAGTTCTGTCTCTAATGTCACATTTCCTGCAATAAAACACACCTGAGGGAACTGGAAGGAAGAAAAGTGCAGCCAAAAGTCTGTGTTGAGGGAGGTCATTCCCAGCAGGCTTTGCAGTTTTGTGCTGGCATATCCACCACAGCTTAAGGCAACTTCTCCATCAGAGAATTATTAAAGTTGGAAGAGACCTCTGAGATCACTGAATCCAGCTGTCAAACCAGAACAGCCACCGTGTTCACCACTAAACCACGTCCTCAAGTGCCACATCCACAGGTTTTTTGAACATTTCCAGGGATGGTGACTTCACCACTCTCCTGGGCAGCCTGTTCCAATGTTTGACAAGCCTTTCCAGGGAGAAATTTTTCCTGATCTCCACCCTCGATCCACATTCTGGCCTCACAGGGCACTCAGCTCTGCTGAGGATGGTGGTGATGCACAAAGAAGTGCATGGACACCTTTTTTGGTTCCTCTGGCAGCAGGACTGGCCAGGTGGGTCACTTGGCTGGGGTGGTGCTGGAGCTGTGGGTTTAGCACAGAGGGTCTCACCTCATGCACAGCATCAGTGGCCAGTGGTGCTGGCAGCCAGCACTGACCAATCCTAACGTGGGGAGCAAAGCAAAAAGTTAAAACTGGCTTTTAAATATGAAACATGAAAAACAGAGTAACCCAAAGGTGCTTCATGCTCCTCTTTCAACAGCTTACATGCTGCACAGTGATGATGAGAAAAACCCCTCCCTGCTGCCCAGTGCTGGGCAGAAATGAGGGACACGGGCACTTCAGGGCTTGCAGAAGCTTCAGATACTTACAGTTTGCTGGTTATACTAATGTTTTGCCTTGCCTGACCTACCTCCTCAGGGCAGCAATAAAAATAACCAGCTTTAGTCCACTACTTGGCTGCTAATTGTCCACTTGTAGATCTTAGTCCCAGCTGGGCCTGCTCCTGCCCAAAGGCAGTTGTGCTCAGTAAAGTGGCTGTTCCCATTTGCAGGCAGCCTCACAATAGGAGCAGGTGGCTGCCATTTTCCATGCAAGAAAGCTCTTTGGAGAAAAGGAAAAAGGGGCAAATGAGGAGGTTGAGGGGGGAGAAAAAAAAAAATCCGAACAAAAACAAACAACACAAAGCATCTAAGAGAGGAAAGCCTCTGCCCTGCTCTGCTTAAAATGGAGAGAGACCAGAAGTGTGCAGAAATGAAAAGAGAAGCAATGTTTGAGGACAGAGGAGGGAGAAGAGAAATGCTGCTTCTGTCATCTCTCTGCTAACCACTGCATCCAGGCTGCCCTCCCTGCTTTCCATTTCCATCAGGATGCAACATCTAAGTGTTTCCCAGTGAAGATGCACCCGGCTCTACAGCTAATTTTAGCCTCCTGATTATGACTTCCTTCAGTGAGTTACCTTGTCTTGACAGCTTACAAGTAGTATGTATCTTCCCTGGGGTGCTGCAGACCAGAGGTGGAAACCTGCAGCGAAGCACAAAGAGAGAAAATGGCAAGAAATCATTTCTTGGCTGCAGTTTCCAAGCTCTCCTTCCCTGAGCAGGTGAAAAAGGAAACTTCTGAAGTGCCTGTCACACCCTCTCCCTGGTAACAGGCATCACCTGGAACAGGGACAGCACAGAGCTTGTCTCTGCAAAGAAACAATAGAGGAAAAGTGCCACAGAATCTGCTTGTTCAACAGCACTGCTTAGCAGAAGCCAGATTTTTTGTATCAAAGGAAATTCTGCTATTTTTAAATTGTTTATTCATGCAGAAAGGTTGACAATGAAGCCTTTGAAATTTCTTGCCTTGTGACAACTTGGGAGGGAACCTATCAGTCTATCAAAAGACTTTATATTATTGTGCTGAATTCCAACATCTCTTCTGTCACTCTATCCAGCATCTACTCCAATATCTCATCTCTGTGCCCACAGCATGTATATACACATGAGCAGAAGAGAGTGCTTGGGCACTGACTCTTGACCTGTTTTCCACTACAAGCATCTGGAGCCAGCAGATAAAACTGATAGGAGCAGTTTGGAGGCAAGCAAAAGGCCGTGGTTCTTCACTCAGCCAGTGGCTGAACTGCAGATCTTCCTGCACAGGGATGGCACAGATGGCAAAGGTTTGCACAGGCTCAAGGGGAAAATGGTCAGCTAATGAAAGACATCCTTGCTAGGGCTGCTAAAGACAGAGGAGTTGCATCTGCCTCAGAGTCCCAGCAGCTAAAATGGTTTTCAGGTATTAGAGAGAATTAGTATCTCACAGTCTTGCTTTTACTTTCCTTCCGTTTGCTTTCAGCTTCTATTAGAAGTGACATGAGAACTGCTGGACAGGCACGTGACTCATTAGGGTCTCTCAAACTTAGAATTTTATGCTCTCTTACATTTTTATTATTCCATACAAGCTTTTTTGACTCTAAGAAGTGTTTCTGTTTGGAAAGTAAAAGGCAAATTCTTACAAAATGCTTAAACTGTGTGTCAGAGTATTACTAACTGTTTTTCATTCATCTTCTGGAATAAAATGTCAGATTTGCATGTTGACATTGTTCCATATTTTCACAAGATCTTTTGCCCTCAGGCATACATCATTTTTAAGCACAATCAGTATTAGGTTGGGAATTTTCCAGAACAACGTTTAACAATGTGAAAAATGTGTAAAACTCCTGGATGCAGATAAGGTATGAATGAATTATAAGAGCAAGTTGTTCCGATGTGCAGGTCATCTCATTCCAAACTAACTCCAAAAAGTGCACTTTTCAGCAGTTTCTGGGCTGGGAGGCTCAGTGCTCAGGCTGTCATAGCAGGGACTTTTCTTTTTAGTTGTGAATATCTTGTGACTCTGGTAGCCTGAGGCTACAGAGGCTTCCCCCATCTTCTAAGGGCTGAAACTATGGCTGATGTTTGGATGTTCTTGCTGTGGTTTTCAAAGCTGGACAGTGGGGTTCAGCTTGTTCCTCATCTCTAGGCAGATGTGTTCAACCCCACTGTCTGTGGTGCTCACAGAGAGCTGCAGTTTGCCCCTGTTCCTGAGCAAATGGGCTGGGTTGGGCATTGAGGGCTGCAGTTCACAACCTTGGGTGTGCACTGAGCAAATGAGGGTCCCTGTGCAAACCTCACAGTGATTCTGCCTCCATGGAGAGCTGTGCTTTACAAGGAGTCCAAAAATTCATGGAGAGATCAGGAACTGGCTGGATGTGAAGGAGTGGCAAAAGAGGTTGAAAACCTCTGGGACCTGATTGCTCTCTAACTCACAGTAGATTATGCCATAATTATTCCTGCAGATTCATCTGTAGGTATCCAAGCAGTAAGTTTCTTCTTTATTCTTTTAACTGAGATGAGTAAAGGACGGATTTTTTTTCTTTGCTTGGGTTCAATGGCAGTTGCAGAGAGGAGCCAGTGCCAGACCTTTTTTCCAGGTCATACCTTGATAAACAGCCTCCTCACTTCTAGGGAGCCATCAGCAACCTCCTGCCTGGGCTGGGCTGAGCTGTGAAACTCTTCAGGAGCACAGTTTTACTGTGCTGGCACCCAGAGCATGAGCACAGGGCAATGACAGACCCTTCAGACCTTCCCTTCTCGGGAAATCCAGACCAGCTTGATGTAGAACAGATTGAGGCAGCACAGCAAGCAGTCATGGACAATACCATTGTTTGAGAGCTGGAGTGTTTCTGGAACAGCCTTTCTGATGAAAGCAACACTAAGTATCATCTCTGCTGTTCTGGCCATACCCAGTGGCTGGTTGCTTACACAGAAAGAAATGTTTCCTTGATTCGTTAGGTTTTTCTCAGGTTTTTTTTTTATTTTATTTCTCCCAGCTCAGATCTGCTGAAGGCAGTGACAAGTTTCCATCCTTCAAAAAATTCAGTGTGACTTGAAAACAATGAGACTCAGGGATCAGTAATTGTATTAATATTTGCCTGGCAGATTAGCTCTGAAGAGCTGATAATTCACGGGCTCTTTGTTCACCCTGGTTTAGTGCCCATGGATTCTCTCTCTGGAAGTGTCTTGCTGCAGCATTTCTGGCTTTTGAGGTCAGTGTGATGAGCTGCGTGGGTGTCTTTAGACATGAATCACATGCAAAAGGCTGATTCTCTTTTTCTTTTCTTCTTCTATTTTTTTTTTTCCCAGACATACTAGGCAAGTCTGGAAAGGAGGAAAAAAAAGGAAAAAAGAACCTTCCAAATTCCCAGACTTCTTTTTCAACTGAAAAACAACACGAAGTTTTTTACTCATTCACTGCTCTCTCTCATCCACTGTGGGTCTGTGCATCACCAGGGTACCATTGTGATGTACCAAGGTTTGTGCAGACATGCTCCATAGGGCAGGTTAAGGTCAAATGCCTGTAGCATGTTCCTACCTCAACAAGTCCTTTAGCCAAGTGTGCAATCCATCCTGCAGCAGCTTCTTGAAAGCAGCTGAGTTCAGGAACAGCCAAAAAATCTGAAGTCAGACCCCTGACAGGTTGCAGAGGTAACCTGTATGTGAACTGCTCCTTGGAGAGCAGTGTTTGTGGCACTGGGGGTGTTCCTCAGGTCCCCCAGGTCTGGGGTCCAGCAGTTCCTGATGCCTGCAGTGTGCTTGCCCCAGGTTTGGGCAGGAGCAGCATTGCCATTGCCCTGGGATAATGGCATCATTGCTCTGCCTGCCTCTGGTGTCAGCACCTCTTAAATCAAAATCTCTGGCAATTTTTCTTCATTATGAGGAGAGGGTTTGTATTGAGTGGTTTCAGAAAAGAGGTGTCCAGTTCTTCCAGGGAAGGGAGCCTTTTTGGGGCTTGGACTGTCTCCCACCTGGCAGCAGTGGTGACTGGATCACAAAGCCTCCTGGAGCCCCTGGACCATTCCTGGTAGTGCAGATTGTTGTGTTAGTATTGTAATAACTTTACTTTGGTGGTGATTGTGCTTTGATTTTTAAAACTGGAGTCCTCTGACTTTAAATTTAAGTCTGTTTGCTGAAGTATAGTGACCCTGGGGCTGTGAAATCTAGTTCTGAAAGCTACCTGTATTTGTGGGTAGAGGAAATGTAGTGATTGCTAAAGTGAAGACAGTGCTAGCTGAACACAAACCCCAGCCTAAATTTTATGGCTGTCCTGCCAGGGGCACAAATTTTTTCAGACTTACCCTCCTGGCCTAGCAAGACTTTTCTTGTGCCAGTGAATGTGTGTTAGGAGCTGGGAGGAAAGCCAATAACTCCTGTGTCATGAGGAGCATGTCTCAAGACAAAGAAAGTGTGAGTTTAGGTGCCACATGAAAGCCATTTCTGCTAATGTGTGTTCCAGCTTTTAAAATATATAAAAAAGTATGGTCTAATTCAGAGTAATAAAGCATTCCATGCATGCTCTGTGACCATGCTTTATTAGAAGTGAAAAAAATAATCTTAGTTGGAGACAATTTGATATGAACCACCCCATCCTTGACTTGGACCTGCTTGAGCCATTAACTGAGAATGGGGCTAATAGTCTGGGAGTGAACTGCTGGGCAAAGCTGAAAAGGGAATGAGGAGCCACCTCCCAGCCAAGAACAATCTCACTGGGGCAGATAAACCCTCTGGCACTTCTGAAAAACCACACCCATTTTCATCAGATGAGCTCCTAGACTGGTGCTTCAAGGCAAAAGGAACAGCTTCTGGAAATCAGGTGAGTCCCCACAAAAAAAAAAAAAAAAAGAAAAAAAAAAGAAAAAAAGAAAAGAAAAAAAGCAAATAGAACTGCAAAGTCCTCAGATATCTGCACTTCTCTGTTCCAGCTTCCTGTGCTACTGAGCAGCTCCACGTAGGAGAGAAGACAAGAAAAATCTTTGGAAGAAGAAAAGATCAACAGCAAAGATCACATGGAAATGGTTTGTTGAGGTTTTCAGACCTGCCTGACTTGTGCTTTTGGCCCTGAGCTTTGGTTCTTCACCTCCATCTGCATCCACAGGTAGGAAGGGAATTGCTGGCAATGCCCTGAGAAACGTCTTTCCTGCTTTTTTGTGCTCTCAGCTCCCATGCCTGGGTGACTTACCAGTGCTGCTGAAGCTTAGTAATGTTTGTGCTTGGAACACAAGTCCCCACTAGGCTTCCAGAAGGAGCTTAAGAGTCTCTGAGGGGTGTGTGTTTTTTTTGGTCCAAGATACCTTCTTTTTTGAAAGCCTCAAGCCACTCTGCTGAGTGACTGTTAAGAAAGCAGGGGAGAGGCACACACTCCCCTTTCATATTTGACTTTGCAGATGTTTGGCTTTGGGGACAGGGCATGTTCAGCAGCTGTGCATTTGGGCAAGAGCAGGTTTGCTTTTCTATTTTTAACATCCTCCTTAAGGATGTGTTGTTTGATCTGAAGCCTGGTGTCTCTTCCCTATTGATGAGCTGTCAGTCTCGGGGCTTGGAGCACTGCTTGGATAAACCTCCACTGTCATATTGGCTGTTTTTTATAGCTGATGACCTTGGGGTGCTTTCAAAATTCATGGCATAAAATGTAATGCATCAACACGGGGATCAAATGTACTGTTGCAGGGCAAGGGCTTCTCTTGGCCATAAAAAGGCAGGTATTCAGAAGCAAAGCAGTCACTGGTGTCAGCAGAGCTTGGGTGGGAGGTGAGGAACTTCCAGCTGTGTGTGTCTACATTTCCCATTAGAGACAGCAGGTGTTTGGGGGACACAGGGCCATGCAGCAGAGAGGAGAGGTGGAATTGGAGACTGATGGGATACAAATGTCATCTTGAATGATGGCCCTGGTGGCTGCACCTTCTGCCCTCCCAAATGGAAGTGGGCTCAGCCCACCAGAAGCAGAGAATTCGGCCACTGAAGGCAGTTTTCTCAGAGCAGTGGAAGAGCTCTCCCTGCCTTTAGCCAAGGCTGTGACACTGTCTTGCTCTGAGCAGCTGAATTACAACGTGCTTTGTGGTGTGTGGGCTGCTGGGAAACTCAGAGTGAACCTTTGGCTCTGCTCCGTGTCCTTCAGCAAGTCACAGGAGTGGATTATTATGTCTTATTTTGAGCAGCTGAATTACTGTACGCTGTTGACTCCATGAGGATGCTGATGGGTGGACAACATCACGGGCTTTTTGTGCCTCAGGGACCTGAACTTCTGCACGGGCATTCAAAGGTTCTCAGTTTAATTCAAATCAATACAGCATTTGGGATTTTGTAGTGGGTGCAATGACAATTGTAGGAATGGAAAACAAGGTACTTGAAAGAGAGCTATCATCAGGTATCAAATTCTCATTTGAAATGTATGAATCTTCAGGCAAATAACTTTTTTATTAAAGGAACACTGTCAAGCATCATTCTGATGCTATATTTAGCTTTTAAATTAAGTGCGCTCCGAGATCTTCACTTGCTGAGTGATCTGAGCCTTTTGTCTGCAGCACAGTGGCAGTAAGAGCTCTGCCAAGACCTCCACCATATGTGGACTGATGTCTGTGTAATGCTGGGGAGGGGCTCTGGAGCTGCAGTGCCCTTGGAAAGAAATGTTTGGCTGCTTTTAAGCAAAGTCACGGTCTGCAACCTCTCTGTCCTTCACATTCCCAAGTGGAGAAGTTCTGAAGCAGTTTTTAGTGCTTGTGTGTGTAAACACTGAAATGTTTGGGCTTAGAAACTTACTGGTGGTTCTTTGTGTGGCTTGGAGCACTGTATCTTCCTGTTTCAGGAAAGGGAGACTGTCAGGAAAATGGACCTACTCAGTCTGCTGGGCAAGAAAAATATCCTAGAGGTGAGATGAAGGGAATGGATGTGTGGAGGACATGCATCTTGTTTATATGTCGCAGTTGTAGCTGTCAGGTGTGGGAATGAGCTTTTTCAGGCAGTTCCCAGTGACTGTTGTGTACTCAGGGCAGGTCTGTGTCTGTACAGACCATGCACTGAGTGGTCCTGGAGGGGTGGCAATAAGGTGAAAGTCTCCTGGCACAAGGGGACACAGAGCCAGATGTGGACCACTGAACAGCTGTTGAGATGTGCTGCTCCATGCCCTGCACAGCCCCATCAGCAGGACAGCTTTTCCAGAGAGGGAAAAAAAAAAGGACACCTCTTCAACAGGCACATTTCTGAGATTGTGGGGGATAACGTCGTGAATTCTGTGTGTGTTGGAGGTCTCAGGTATAACCTGGGCTCGCAGCTGTGCTCCACCCAGTGTGAGGTGTGCTGTCACCTCGAACGTGATGAAGGAAGGGAGGGCATGAGGTTTTCCAGCTGACACCGCCAAGAGAGCCAACTCCCAGCCCTCACAGCAGACCCAGCATCCCTCCAGCAGCCACACGATGGCAGAAGAACCAAAGATCACAGCAAAGAGCTTTTAAAACAGCTGCAAACGGGGAAGGCACCTGCCTCTGGCTCTGCTGGTCTCACCTCTTACATGGGCTAATCCAGACCCCACCAGGAATCCTGCCCGGCCAAGAGCCAGTTGGGGGGCTGTGCTGCCCCACAGCTCCTTGGTGGCTTCTCCACAGCGAGGTCACAGCTTCATATCTCCATGCAGGAGGTCTCCCATCATGGCATCACATAGCCCAGGACTTCACACAGCTGAAAAAATCTGGGAATGGGGGTAAATTAAAATATTGCAGGTAGCTCCTGCCTGCTCCCACAGCACCTGCTCCCAGAGCATCCAGCTCAGTGTGATACCTACTCCCAACAGACCTTGTACCTGCTCCCAAAGCACATCACTCCGTGTGGTACCTGCTCCCAGAGCATCCTGCTCAGTGCAGTACCTGCTCCCAAAGCACATCACTCAGTGTGGTACCTTCTCCCAGAGCATCCTGCTCAGTGTAGTACCTGCTCCCAGCACACCCAGCTCCCTGTGGTACCCTCGGGAGGCTGCACTCCCTCTCTGCAGGTACGAGGGAGGTGCTCCCTGGGTGTCCCTGGAACCAGGCTCTGGGCAGAAGTGCCTCCCCCGCTGCAGGGCAGAGCCTGCACTGTTCAGCTGTTCCCGAGGGAGCCACAAAGCCCCTCCAGCTCGCAGCTGGGAGGAAGAAAGGCAGGATTAGCTGTGGGCATTGGACACCTCGAGCCTCTCGCCGAGCCAAGTGAGAAGGGTAACTTCAGGCGTTTTGTGCTCTGAAAAGCCTGGAGGCTTGGCAAAAGCAGCCACTCACTCAGCTGTGCAGCCTCCTGTAAACTGAAATGCCCTCTTAATGCTGCTGAAAAGAGAAAATAATGATTGCACTGGAGAATAAATGAAAACCGAGGCTAAACATGAGATCATTGTGCTGACATTAGCAATTATCACCCTAAACACTGCTGCAGGCACTCAGCATCAGGGAGAGGTGATCTCTGAAAGCAGAAACCTTTAGCTGACTTTCTCAGGTGTAATTAATTTCTTTAGATGAACCACATCACAGACAGCAAACAACAACAACAGCAAAAAAAGTAGGAGAAATTTGGGTTCCTTTGGTGAAGGACAGGTAATTCATGTGTAAAACTTGTCAGGGGAGATCACATGCAATTTTGTACAAGTACAGCCAGCTGACTTTGTAGCACTTTCTCAACTGTCACAGAAGTTTGGGTTCTGAGGGATCTGAGGGGCAGCATTAGGATCATCCAGTCTGACCTCCCTCATACACAGTTCACAAAATTTTTCCCAGGAGTTGTACAAAATACATCTTGGAGATGAATTCCAAATAACAATGCTCTATAAGCTCACCCAAGCAAGACCTTTCAATGTACAATCCTCTAATTATTAAGAAATTGCACCTTCACTGGAGGTAGCAAATTTCTGCCTCTAGCTGGTCTATGTGTGTTTATAAACTCCTTTGCAGACCTCCTGTTTTATAAATAAATCAATAGTCATACTACCTCTCTACTGTTTTTTTTTAAATAACCTAAAAAAAAGGGCAGTTTCTCAAATTTAACCTTTAAGACTTTAAGTTTCTTTTTCAAGTTCTTATTTGAACTCTCTCAGGATGTTCCAGATCCTACTACAAAATTCTACAGCTGAACCTGGGACAGGAGCCCCACTATAGGACCAAAGCTGCTGCTTCTGTCTTTCCATTCCCCACACCATGTTGGCTCCTCGGATCACACAGGTTGCCAGCAATGTGAGTCTTCTATATCATAAAGAAAAAGACACCCAAAGCAACGTTATGAAGAGAAATGGACATTTTCTGTCCATCAGACAAGAGAAGAAATGTGTGGGAAGGGAGCAGGTGAACTTACTCTACAACACTTCTGAGTGTGAAGAGACTGTTTGTGCCACTGGCACATCTCATGGTCATACCTCTGGTGCTGAGCCATTTGTGGGGTCTCTCTACTGTGATTTAAGAACAAGGAGTAACCAACTGTGCTCTCAGTCAGTCACATCTGGAGAAATCACAGCAGATATTCACTTACCAAAAACAAGGGACCTGCCTGGACCAGAAAATGGAACTGATGCTGCAAAGTCTCTACACTTGAAAATACTGAAGATGGCTACACTGGGACAAACTCACCACTGAGACAAGCATCATGATTCTTGTAAAGATATGCTTTCATCAAACCCAAGATTGGCCTTATCCACTCTTTAGGACTCAAACTGTTGTGGAGACCAACAGGGCAGTACTTAGTAATGTGTCCTTTTCAAACATGCACTTTTCATTAAGTAACTTTTTTTAGACAAAGAACTTTTCGCGAGAGGATGAGAGGATCTGCCTGATGAAATATTGACTCTCCCAATTCATTTTAGATTCTCAAGCATCATTCAACAGCTCTGAATTGACTAATGGCCATCACAGCAAATGGATTTCCACCTGAATCTTTAGTTCTTGTCTGAATGATATTAATACACATTGTTTATCACTAATGAGCTCTAGAATATGATGTTAACAGAAGCAATTAAGGCCCAGAATAACTATCTGCAACACTGTGCTGGGGCTGAATGCATGGGTAATGAATTACTTCCCTAGCTCAGCTCCAGTTTCCTCACTGCAAATCGTACGTCAGATCTCAGTAAGCTCATCTGAGTGTCCCTGCTGTTGCCTTCATTTCTAACTTGTGTGTGCCAGATGTTATTTATAAAAGAAAGAAATACAGAGTTGTTTTTTTTTTAAGACCTAGCCTTGTGGGTTTTATTTGTTGTTGAGTGATTGCAGCCACCTTCAAAGTGAGGTGTCATATTAAGACTACCTTTCCCTCTAGCAGGCATAGATTTAAACTTCTCCTAAGGTGTTTAAGTTCAGGAGAATAAAGCTTGACTCAGAGCACTGTTTAGCCAGGATTGCCAGACCCTGACTTCTTGTGCAGATAATCACTACAAAGAGCTCAGGCACTTCAAGGGGGTTTTTTTGCCTGCTCAGAACAAGAGTGTCTCTCAAAAGTCTTTGGTGAACTGCTGCTTCAGGGCATCACTTCCATGTCACTTGTGGCCACAAGAATTTAAAAGGTAAGACTGAGATGAACAAGAAAAGCAAAGTACGATGCTACCCAGATAGTTTTTGTTTTGCACTGTTGACCTGTCCCAGCAAAGGCTGGATGTACCTGTCTTTAATGGACTATATTAAACACTGAGTCTTCGAGGTACTTTGGAGCTGACTTGGTCCTGAAAAGTCAGGACTTTTGTCATTTGCTACGTGACAGCAACATTCCCACAAGTGAAGATGAGAATTGCTGTTAAGTCTCCAGTTTAAGACTTGGTCATACACTTGAAGCTAGAGAATTTTAACTATTGACTTCAGTAGGAACCTGTTGTAAATAAAGCTCAACTTGAACCAACTAAGCTTTTCTGTGTTCCAATACACTGAATAATACACTCACCTGGTCTTTACAGAGTCTTGAAGGAGAATTAAGTAAACTAGAAGTATCAGAAAACAGGATAATTTCCCTCATACTGTAAGAAATTGCTGAGACAAGTCAACAACAGTGTGAATTTACTATTGTCAAGTATTTTGGCGGGAGGCTTAAAATCTGCCTGAAGATTCTCTGTCAGTTTAAACTGAGAAAACGTGAACAGCCATGAACCCATTCCATAGGCTCAGCCTCTTGCTTCTCTGCAAAAGAGCTGGCATCCTACATCTGTGAAATTTTCCTTAAATAAGACCAAAACAAACAGTTTGGGCTGTTTAGGCTCACCTGGCTGGCTTGGACTGTGCTGCACTGCTGTTCCTCTCAGCCCCAGCTCTGACTGGTGTTTTTAAAACACTCATATGAAATGAAAGTTGAAATGTAGCTCTTCAGGCAGCAAAGTGGAACACACTTAACTGCTGCAGGTGAACCAGAGGATTTTTACCTGTCTTCACCTACAGATGTTATCATCACACCTACAAGCAGGCTCTGCACGGGGACATTTTTGATCTCTGACTGATGCTTAGTACCAAATTAGTCAGCAGTTCTTTTTTTTTTAATCATTATTATTTATTTTTAAGGAGTTATCTATCTAAGGACCAAGATGAAAGCAGTGAGTGCATCATTTCATTGTGCTGACTTGAATCGCAGTGTCACTTTAATTTGCAGCCACTGAAGCAGAACCTCACCAAATGCAAAGGAAATACTTCAGCAATTAGCCTGCACTCAGCTCAGTGCTGCAGGAGTCAGGCTGCTGCAGCAGCCGTGCCACTGAGCTCGGGGACAGCCCCAGCACCCAGCAAAACCTGCAGGGGAGGGTGCAGCTCTGCAATAATGGGGCTGTGTCACTGCTCAGGAGAAAGGGAGACTTCCTGGGACACCTCAGAACAACATCGTCCTGAAAGGAGCTTTAAGAAGTCAAGTCTGTGCTGTCACTTTTTCTTTGCTTGCTTATTTCTTTATGTATATATATTTGTGTATATATATATATGGGAATTGAAACAAGTTTATTTCATGCAAATTTTTACTTGAGTAGAGGCAAGGTTATTAAGGAACTTCTGGAGTTACAAGGCTTCTTGGTTTACTCAGGAGAAGACTATGTAATTCCACTGAATGAGGTTAGAATAGAAAACCCGTGCTCTAAGTGTTGGGAGAAAAACAACAGTAACAGCCAGGTACTCACCACTTGTTACAGCATGGGCTTGGATGAGCTTCCTCTGCTCCATATCCAGCCTCCCTGGGCAGCTTCCTGTCATGTTGGGCTCCATGGCTCCCCTCTGGATCCTTCAAAGCTGACTCAATACTGCAGGGGGAAACAGGACATGACACATTCACAGTTTGGATACAGAAAGTGGCAGAAGATGGACCAGTGTCACTTTTATCACTGTGCATTAGCAGGTATTCTTTATCATCTCCATTACCATTGCCACTCATTTCATTTAAGGCAGAAATGTCCTCCTGTACAATCACAAAGACACATCCCCATCTCCTCTGTAACTGTAAATAGAAAATTCACAGTTTCTACAAATCAGGAAAGAAGAGAATAACTTTCATTTTACATAGAGGCCAACTGAGACATCAAGTAACAAAGTTTATTCAAGGTCTACAAAAAACCTGGGACAGTGTTGCAGGCCAGACCTTCACTGGCTGATGCCCAGGATCAAATGGGCAGTCAGCTCCTTTCAGGACCAGCAGCACAGCCCTGCAGGACTGTCCTTCAGAGCCTGGCCAGCTGGGTGCCAACCCTGCCCTTGTGCCAAACAGACACAGGTAATTCAGAACAGAGACACCCCCAGGGCTTGTTTGCCCATTAAGATGTTGGGAAGAGAGTTCAAGCTCCTTTCCAGATCCCTGGGCAGGAGCAGCTGCTGCCTCTGTGTTTACTGACACCTTAGAAAGGCTGCCATCCCCCTGCAACACCCACTTGCTCAAGATGCCAGGAACTGAGCACCAAACACCCCTGGCCAGAACTGAGCACCAAACACCCCTGGCAGCCCTTCCACGGCCGGACCACCCTCGCCAAGGGGGATGGAAGGCACTGGGCTGAAGCAGAGACACCCCCAAAAAGAGTTTAAACCCCGAGTGGCCGTGGGCACCCCCCCAGTGCCCCGGGACGCCCACCCAGCCCATCTGCCCCTTTGTGGGGGCTGTCCCAGGGGCCGGGGGGTGGCCGTGGGTGCCACAGGAGGCACCTGCAGCTCGCACAATGGGCTGTGGGTGCTCGGGGGAGAGACAGATTGATGTATTGTGTGTGGGGGAGGAGGCTGTCACTGGAATCCATGTGAACCCGGGCTCTCGGGGCAGGGCAGATTGACAGCTTTTGTAGGTCGCAGCTCTCTTTCAAAGCTCTGCTTTATAGACAGTAGGTTAGGGGGCCCGGGCTTTCACTCCCATAATTCGAACAGGGCAATCATCAGCATTGAGAATTTCTTCTCTCTCTCTCTCTCTCTTTTTTTTTTTTTTCTTCCACCCCCTTGTTATGCATTAAATGATTTCAGTGGAGGAATGTGCAGCATTAATTAGAATTGGTTAGCAGATACTGAGGGGAAAAGTTTCTTCACAACAACTAAAGGAGGTGTCAGTGCTACAAAGAGGGTTTTGTTTTCGCTCTCCCCCGCATTATCAGTGCAATATGTAAGGTAGCTATTCTTTTCATTTAAATTAAGTGGAAAGCTACTAAATCTTGTTTTATTCTCCCCCCCCAAAAAAAAAAAAAAAAAAAAAAGGGGAAAAGGTCCTTAACACTTATCTTTTAACTTCTTTTATTTTGCAAGGTTAGTGTTTACTTTTGCTTTCAGTCCTGCCCATTAATCGGCCTGCAAAGATGTGTATCCAGTTTTGTGTATCATTTAGCTCTCACAATTATAAGCCAGCACAACTCATATATGAGGATTGTCTGCTGATTAAAGCAACAACTTTACCATTTAAAATAACAGGCGCTCGTCTAGAGGGACACATTGAAATTCAGAAGTGTGGCCGGCTGTTCTCTGCAGGGATTTCCTCGTTTCTTTCAACCTTCTAAATAGAAGTTAAGCTAAAAGATGGCCTTGAGCATATAAAGTAAGAGCTTAGAAGAAATGCTTGTTAATATATTTATATATGCTTTTTATGTCATTCCTTAAAAACTTTTCCCATTGACAGTGTGCAAACAAATATTAGCCCTGATACTGGTTAAATATTTTCTTCCATCAAATGTACTCAACTAGTTTACAAAAAATTATTTACAAAATAAAAGTTAAAAAAAAAAAATCTTGAATGACTGTCAACATTTAACAAGAGACACAATCCTAAGTGCTACACTAAGGCTAATATCACATTCCTTGTTTTCTGGTAAGGGTTTAAAAATTACCAAATTATTACCACCATAAAGCATCATCTCCTAAGACATGTAAAGCCAGCTGCTGTCTCTAGAAGTAAATTACTAAGGCTCTGTGCCATGCAGATTCCCTTGCCACAAATCCCCCTGAAAAGTAAAGATATTTACACTGTGCCCACAGTACCAGTCAGCAAATGCTGCTTGTGTTCTTTTAACCAGGAAAAGTACAATTCCTGCTTGTTCCCCTTGAGGGAGTGCTGGAAAGTGCAGCCACAGGCAGAGTGGCCTGAGCAGGAGAGAGCAGGTATTCCCAGACAGGCAGTGGTCCTTTTCCTACAGGGCAGATCCCAGTGCCTGATATTTTATCTGACACCCACAAACAGGTCTGGCCTATGCATTATAAAGTCAAAACCACAGCTTAAAATGTAAACTTTGCTATTCAGTATCTAGATCTTAACAAGCTTTTATCTTCATCTTACTGGTAAATCAGGAGTTGCTGGTGGGAGACGTGATGTTAGAGGGGTTTTTTTTAACATTTTTTAAGGTGGCATTGCCACAGCAACTTTAAGAGCTGCGTAAAGATGAGCTAAACAGAGCCCATGCAGAGGAAGAGAGGAGTAATTTCTGCTGTGCACAGGATGCAGGGGGGTTTTAAGTAGAAATTCAGCAATATAAAAAGCCAGCTAAAGTATGTCACCTTCTGGCTGGAGACTTTTCCCCACCGTGGAAGGGAGGAACAAGCTTCCTAAACTTCTGACATTGTCTTGCAAGGAAAAGAAATCCATGGGATACGAAGAGTTATTTTCCACAGTGCAAAGTGCACCCCCCCCTAGAACTGCCAGTTCAGCTCCATAACTGGGATTTAAGCTCTGGGGGGCTGCACCAAGACAGGGAATAATTAATTAATTAATTAATTAATTAATTAATTAATCAAGTGCCTCTGCACGGAGTATCCCAGGCAGACAAGCTGTTTGCTGCCTGAGCCGCAGAGCAGCGCTGCTCTGGGGAGCCGAGGGCACTGCCAGGCTGGGGTTTGAAGCGATGCCCAGCCCCGGGGTCAGCCGAGGCAGCCCAAAGCCCTCCCTGCTCGGCCCC